AGTATGAATTCATATCTTTTTATATCAATAATGATATCCAAAAGTAAGATTGGAGGGGTTAAGTTGGGAACAAATCATATCTAGTATATAATATTTTTAATGTTTTCAAAAATTAAGTGCGGTGTTAGTGTTACATAATAATAGATGAATGAAAGAAAAATCTAATATAAAAAAATTAATAATATATTATCAGGAGAATGACAGACCATAAATCCATAATTGTGACAGATAGACGCTCAGTCGACAGTGGACCACTTGTCGAAGCTGACAGCCAACTCCAAGTCGCAGAATGTTTAGCTCTCAGGAGCCCACCACGTGGCAATCCGTCCGATAACCGCCAACAAAGCTTGTCATTTTTTAAATGTTTCTCTTCTGGTACTCAAACCAATTTAGTATACAAATTAAAATTACTTCTTAATATAAAATAATTTACACAGCTTAGAAAAAAATTAATGCAGTAGATAAATAGTTTGACATCTTTCATTATATAAATAAAGCTTGTCCTTATCCAGAGAGTTAGGGGTGTTCAAAAACGGTTAACCGAACCGATGAACCATTTTTTTGAACCGAAACCGAACCGATTTGGAGGGAAAATCGGTTTTTCGGTCAACCGGTTTTGAACTAGTTTTTGGTTAACTATTTTAAAAAAGCGGTTAACCGGTTTTGAACTAATTTTCCCTTTTTTTTTTGTAAATTTTTTTTATTTTTTCCTAAATTAAATTTTAAAAATAAATAATACATATCTAAATAAAAATTAAACATTCATATATATCCATTAACCACTACTAGCAATACATTAAAAATATTATTATTTTTATTTAATATATAATATAATATATTATTTTTATTTTTATTTAATATATAATTTTTATTTTTATTATATATATATAACCGGTTTCGATTAACCGTTTTTTATTTTTTCCCAAACTGGTAACCGAACCAGAAATTCAGTTTTTTGAATTTTTCAAACCGTAATCGAACTATTTTTTCAGTTAACTGATTTTTCGGTTCGGTTATCAATTCGATTCAGTTTTTACATTTTTTTTAAGACCCCTATATAGAGCGTCACATTTAGAGTTTTTTTTTTAATTATTATTATTTTGAACGACAATATGAGAGACCATATCCATATGTGATTGACATTAATTGCTTTCGCCTAACCCCTTTGGATAGAGATACAAATCATTCTCTGGTTGCTGCCTCCTACATTGAAATGTACTTTCCAAAGGTGGTCACAGGTTTTGAATAAAGAAGATGACAATAAATAACTCATGCTTTTTCATCTCGAATTCTATCTTTAACTTTCGGTATTATTAATTAAATTAAATCAAAGAAAACATTAAAAATAATAATTGAGATATGTCGTATCAGTCGTTAAAGTTAGTTGGATTATAGGATTAGCCTTATTAACTCTCTATTATAACTTATTCAAACATATCATTTGACATTAAGGAGAATTAGGTATGATTAGGGAATTTATTTTTGAGGAGGAGTATAATCAATTAATAAGATTAAAAATAATTAAAAATAAAATTTACATAAATAAATTCACCTGTCACCACTGAGACGTGATGACTCGTTACGAGTGAAATGAATTAATCATTAATTATAAAAATTATAAAAGCAACCAGCAAAAAGTTTGCAGAGAAATAATAAAAATAAAATATTATTTTCTTTTTAGGAAAAAGAAAAAGAAAAACTAAGGCCCCACCTGGACCGTAGGTCCCCGGGGCCTTTATATGATACAAGTCTATAATGTCAGGTAAAATTATTTCTGGTACCCTAAACATTAACTTTTCATAATGGGTTCCGACCTCACCTCAATCCTCAGAATCAGATGCTAATTCCTGCATAGCTCAAGCCACAAAGTTAATTTTTTCATTTTTTTTTATTTTCTTGAGTACCCTTGTTTTATGCCGTTGATGCATAAATCTGCACTAACTAGAAAATTCTAATCGACTTTGATGGGATCAGAATGGATGTGATTGTGATTAGGGGTAATCAGCAGTGGATGAATAATAAATGTAATAAAGTAAATGACAAAGAGATTTTTAAAGTAGTTCGACGAGGTAAACTCTTGAGCCTAAGTTCACTGTTTTTTGTATTTACTATGAGAGCTTACAAGGTGAATATTGTGTTAAAATCGTAACCCCTTTTTCATTATTTGTGAGGGTTTATATACAAGGTTTATACAAAGGAAATATCGAAAATAAAGGGATTACAATTAATCTGAACTGCAATTCCGATATTCTTGCAATTAGACGCTGAGATTGATGTTGATTTGGTCATTCCTACAATAACTGAGATCTAAAAATATCTGAGAATTAATTGAATGATCATTCGCGAGTTATTCGTGACTAGTTTATGCTTGATCGAATTATGTATTAACAAGCTTACGCTGGATCGTACAATCGATGAAATTAGACTAATCTTTGGTTGAACTATATCCTTACAATAACCCAAACTTGATAAAAAAATCATACACAACATATCTAAAACCATAAAAATACAGAAAAAAATTCGATATACGTCGCCTCGGATGTCCTTATAATATAAGTACAAAAATGAATACTTCCAAAATGAGTTTGTCTCATTTCAGCACCAATTATCCACATCATCTCAAATTGTTTTTTTGCAGTCCCTGTTACGCTCAAACTGTCTTTATGCCCTCATTCGGAAGGCGTATCAGATTAAAGCAATATTCCGTTTTTAATTATTATTATTATTTTTTTTTTGAAATTGGGCAGGGGAATTAAGATAGGCACGAATGTGTTGTCAAAAACAATAAGAAGTGTTTTCATATTTTAATCCTTGTATGAGCTGTCAGGACACTATTGGTTGTGAGAAAAACTCGCCGATAATGTGGATCTTTATTGATTGCAACAAGGATAATAACCAACTTTACAATCTGGCCCACAAAGATTCCGTCGCCGACACGAAATTGGTGATGAGGGTTGAGTTGAGTTAGAGTATCTCACAAGATATTGTGGTGGTTGGAACTTGGACTTGGGTGGTGAATCTTTGATGTACTGTATATTTTATGCGACGCCGTTTAGATTCTGTTCCAGGACCACCCTTGCTCATAAGTCAGAAATTTGGATTCTTATTGCGATGTCGTCTTTGGAGCGATTGTCTGCCACATGGGTCTCCCCTATTGGAAAGGAGATATTTTCAGAATTGTCAATTATATGAATATGATTTTTTAAAAGCCAGTGGCCAAATAATATTTTAATAACGTTAGGCTTACAAAATTATGATATCTTTAATTGATTAATTAAACTTTGAGAATAAGACATTATTATATATAATATTATTAATAATTTAAGAATATAGTGATGAGGCTATTAAAATGTGGGTTGGAGTAATTATTGAAAGCTATAAGAAGAGTTTCATGTGTGTTTCAACTTATACGTTTTAAAATGCGCAAAACATGTTAAATCAATTATTCAAGGTACATTAGTTTTTGAATTTTTCAATTATGGAAGTTTTAATATAATGAGAAATTCACTAATTGAATGTTGGTCAGTCCTAGCTAATGTTGAGCCTTTCCAAAAAAGAAAAAAGGAATACGATGTGCCTCGGATGATATATGATTGATTGTGATTGTCACATGTATTTAATTTATCTTCTGTAATTTTAAATAAATAATTATTAACCCTCAAATGATTTATATATCTTATTTGTTATTTCTATATTTGTAATTTCCGTGAACATTTTATATAACCATATTGAATGAAATATTTGACTTATAAAATAGACATCAAGATTTGAATGAAATTATTTGGTAATGGTTAGGTCTGCACAAAAAAATTGCACAAATGTCATCAATACACCTGGGTTTTAAGTAATGATGATGATTGATGTTAATGTTGATTATACTTTGATAATCATCATTTAAAACTATGACTTATAAAAAAATATAATATTATTATTTCATCAATACAATCTTTTATTTATAAATTATCCTAAATATATTTTTAAAAATATGAGTGCCGCACTAAAACTACGTCGTGCTATTTAAGAAGATATTTACCATAAATGTAGTGATTACGAGATTGCAATATATATATATATTCAATAATTCCAATTAACAAATATTCATGATAGAAATTCTGGAAAGAGTATTATATAATGTAGTAAAATGTACTTCATCAAATAATTCAGGCGACTTTAAATGCACGTTATGGCCAACTAAACCTAATAAAAAGTTTTAAAAATATCCACCATCGATAATGGAATATCTTAAGCCCATCAATAAAATAAAATAAAATAAATTAGTATCAAAGTTTTCATTTTAGAATCTAGATATGTATTAATTGATTTTCAGCAATTATTATTTAATTAATTTTAATCATTAACTTAAAAAACTAATGTTATATAGGGTTGTTCAAAAAAATGCAAAAACTGAACCATCAAAAATACCAATTCGGTTTCTGTTAAAGGAAATACATAAACCAAAAATTCAATTTGATTACCAGTTTAAAGAATTTTTAAAATCGGTTACCCAGGTTTACAAAACCAGTTTTCACTTTAAAATTAAAAAATCACTAAATTCCAAAATCTTTTTCTCTTTACTCTTCACCCTTTACGTATTTCTCCCTTTATTTTTTTTACACAGACACACACATTTCTCCTAAGTTCTCATCGATTTTTACTTTCTCTTCCCTCTCAAAATAAAAAATAATTAAATTAGGGAAAAAATAAAGTTAAAGAGAAAATTGGTTAATCGGTTTTTACTAACTGGTTAACCGAAAAATCGGTTTTTCTCTTAATCGGTTCGATTTTGGTTTAGGAAAATTTCTTAACCAAAAAACCGGTTTGGTTGGATTTTGGTTATGGATACCCATAAATTGTTATATAATATATACTCTTATCAAGTTTACATAGTAAGTTGAGATATTATTTAATATAAAATAAAATTTTAATAATAGTAATAAAATTAATGAGTAAAAATTTGTTTTGTGTATCGCTGGAGTCACTGTCTGCCAACGCATAATAGAGTACCGGTACCTACCAATACAGCTCGATATTTCAAGTTACAGTTAACTCCGAGTTTCAATCCCAACTATAATATCTCAACCTCCACCATTCTCTGCCAACTTTCTTCTTAATTTCTGTTAAATTCTCTCCGCTTTTCATATTCTCCTGTTTCCTTTTCTTTTCTCCAAATTTAGCAACACCTTGCAGAAAGATATGGCCGAGGAGGAACCAAAGAAGATTGAAACCGAATCACCAGCTGACCCTTCTCCTCCTCCTCCACCAGCTCCCGTTGCTGAGCCGCCTGTTGAAGCTCCCAAAGATGTTGCCGAGGAGAAAGCTGTAATTCCACCTCCACCTGCTGAGGAGAAGCCCGAGGACTCCAAAGCTCTTGCAGTTGTTGAAAGTAATTACTATTTCTTTCTTCTCCTCTGTGTTTCTTTTTCTCTTTTTTTCCCCCTTTTTAACTAAACTTTAGCATCGGTCGTTTTGTAAAAGAGGAAAATAAGATTAAAGGAAAAAGTTGTTTGGTGATATTAATTTTGCTTTTCTTGATGTTTCTAAGCAACCAAACAGAGTGGATGCTTACGTTCATTTTATGTCCCTTTACAGATCATCTTTCTTATTTGTTCTTCTTTTTTATTTGTTAATAAAATCATCTTTTGGTAACAAAATTATTTTAAACAATCAGAGAAAATATCATAATATGTTTGGATATTGGAAAAATTAATATAATTTAAAAAAATAAAAATAAAATTTTATTTTATTTTAAGATTCTTTGGAGAAGATTAAGAAAATTTTGAATGGTGTTTGCAAAATTTGGGCCTAATTTGTTCAAAAAACTTTGATATAGCACCTATTATTTCCATTAGTTTTTACAAATTTAGTGAAGTTATTGATAAGAATATCNGATATTATTTAATATAAAATAAAATTTTAATAATAGTAATAAAATTAATGAGTAAAAATTTGTTTTGTGTATCGCTGGAGTCACTGTCTGCCAACGCATAATAGAGTACCGGTACCTACCAATACAGCTCGATATTTCAAGTTACAGTTAACTCCGAGTTTCAATCCCAACTATAATATCTCAACCTCCACCATTCTCTGCCAACTTTCTTCTTAATTTCTGTTAAATTCTCTCCGCTTTTCATATTCTCCTGTTTCCTTTTCTTTTCTCCAAATTTAGCAACACCTTGCAGAAAGATATGGCCGAGGAGGAACCAAAGAAGATTGAAACCGAATCACCAGCTGACCCTTCTCCTCCTCCTCCACCAGCTCCCGTTGCTGAGCCGCCTGTTGAAGCTCCCAAAGATGTTGCCGAGGAGAAAGCTGTAATTCCACCTCCACCTGCTGAGGAGAAGCCCGAGGACTCCAAAGCTCTTGCAGTTGTTGAAAGTAATTACTATTTCTTTCTTCTCCTCTGTGTTTCTTTTTCTCTTTTTTTCCCCCTTTTTAACTAAACTTTAGCATCGGTCGTTTTGTAAAAGAGGAAAATAAGATTAAAGGAAAAAGTTGTTTGGTGATATTAATTTTGCTTTTCTTGATGTTTCTAAGCAACCAAACAGAGTGGATGCTTACGTTCATTTTATGTCCCTTTACAGATCATCTTTCTTATTTGTTCTTCTTTTTTATTTGTTAATAAAATCATCTTTTGGTAACAAAATTATTTTAAACAATCAGAGAAAATATCATAATATGTTTGGATATTGGAAAAATTAATATAATTTAAAAAAATAAAAATAAAATATTATTTTATTTTAAGATTCTTTGGAGAAGATTAAGAAAATTTTGAATGGTGTTTGCAAAATTTGGGCCTAATTTGTTCAAAAAACTTTGATATAGCACCTATTATTTCCATTAGTTTTTACAAATTTAGTGAAGTTATTGATAAGAATATCAGGGAACGAAAAATCAGCAAGCTATTATTCAACAATAAAAAACTAAATAAAATCAAGATATTATCCACACAATCTACTAAATATTCAAATTCTCTAATTCATGCAGAGCCCGCAGAGGCTCCTGAACCTGCTGAGGAGAAAAGTACTGAGGGCTCTGTCAATAGAGGTAACTTTCGATCTTAATTTGACTTAACTTTTGTGTGCCTGTTATATTTAAAGCTTGTGATTAATGTGAGAAAAAAACTCCATCTTCTAAAAAGACTCCATCTTCTCCAGATACTGTGCTTGCAAGAGTTGAAACAGAGAAGAGGATTTCTCTGATTAGAGCGTGGGAAGAAAGTGAGAAGTCCAAAGCAGAGAACAAGTAAGACCCCTTTTGACTTTAATAGGTGTTTTGTTAGCCACCTGCTTATGCAGGGCACATATTGATGATTTTTAACTGTGACGGTAGTCTTATTTTTAAGTGATATGTCCTGATTTCTTGCATTTTTAACGAATAAAAATTAAAATAAGCTGATGAGTTGTATATTCTTCAATAATATGCAGCTATTTTTTTCTTTTGAATTATGCTTTAGTGATTTACCGTTCTACATGTAATGGTCTATCCAATAAACTTGTTGCTGACAATTGCCTTTCAGTCTCATTCAAATTTTCGTGTATTACAACTTCTTGAAGATGGGTTGGATTCATACAAAACTTTTGTTATTCCATATTAGTCAGTTGGAATTTGGTGTACTAAACTATTCTTATTGGAAATTTTGCACAGAGCTCACAAAAAGCTATCTGACATTGGTTCATGGGAGAACAGCCGAAAAGCAGCTGTAGAAGCTGAGCTTAAACATATCGAAGTAAGTCTCCATTTTCTGTAAGGTCGATATGGAAAGTAACATCATTTGCAGTTCTATAAAGCTACATCATTATTTTTGGAAAATTTAGTTCAGAATATATCCTCATTGTAAAACCCTGCCTTGATGTTTATATATACGTGCTTTCTTTTTTTCTAACATTAGTTCTGCAGAAACTTGTTCTCTGAATGCTTTATTCATGAGCATATATAACTTTGTTGTAATTAATTCAATAGAATTTTTTACACCTAAATGTTTATGTATCTGTCTCTGTCTTTACTTTCCATTTACAGGCAAAATGTTCATGTTTTCCCTCTTCAACTTTTATTGATAGATTTTGCCTCTAAGGGTAACTGTTATAATTGGAAAACAATGATATGGTTAGTCATACTTGTTCGGGGTAAATTCAGTGAACCAACTTTTCCTGCAGTTTGGCTCCTAAGCTTTGTTCTATTTGTTAAATTACCACATTCGGTATTATAATTAGTACAATAATGTTTTGAAATCAGTCCGCTATGACTTGGTACACGGTTCTTTGTGTAGACCTCAAAGAATTTGCTTCCTAGTTCTTACCACGTCTAATAAACTTTGATGCAGAAGGAGGATTAATAATCTGCCTTAAATTTTCTCTCCAGAATTCACATTCTCTGACAATTCTGTTATATATGAGCAGGAGCAATTGGAGAAGAAAAAGGCACAGTATGTGGAGAAAATGAAAAACAAGATAGCACTGATCCACAGGGAAGCCGAAGAAAAGAGAGCAATGGTTGAAGCTAAAAGAGGAGAAGATCTTCTCAAAGCAGAGGAGACAGCTGCAAAATATCGTGCCACGGGAACCTCCCCGAAGAAGCTCCTTGTCCTTGGCTGTTTTTGAGGCTGGAAACCCTGAAGTGTGATTGAAAAATTAAATTATATGTATATGTTATTTGAACATTCATTTGTTAATTTAGTCTTGGTGTTTGGTTTTGTGGTGGAGAATTGATAGATGTAAGATGTTCATTATTGTGTGTGCACAGTCATGTATTTGTGTGTATATATACTTTGGGATGAATTATTGAATTTGTATGAAAGAAGTTTAAAATAATGCTGAATCTGAAGTGCAATCCAATCACTCTTTGTGTTTTCGGTTATATTTGCTGAACAGTAAACCTCAGGACACCCATTTCATATGTAAGAAGTTACAGGGAAAGAAAAGAAAATATAGAACTCAGCTCATGCTATTTGGTTCCAGTTTTTAACTCTTTTTCCTATCTCTTGTCAGAGCTAAAACACAGCGTTTTAGATGAAACTGAGAATCTACTACTCTACATACAAGCCATAACACTATGAAACATTAGAGACATCAGGTATTTCTCTTCCCATGGTACCACCCGTCTGGAAAATGACAGTTTCAGTCGCATTGAAGATTATCAGTTTGTTCGCGTAAGAATTAATTCCGTGTCATTTAACAACTGGGAAGTCTAGTAGCGACATCAATGCTGTATCAAAAGAATCAGGGAAGTCATTAGAGCTGTTGGTGTCTGAAGGAGGTACCATATCTACATTTGGTCGGTAACAATCATCTTGTTCCTGAGTGGTGGTGTCAGTAGAAGTACTGGTTCCAGTGGGTCTAGCTTGAAGTGTAGCAATCGAATCTGATTCCAATTCTGTTGGCAATGTTTCGGACACTGCATTTGTAAGCACTCCACCTTCCCTAGCAGTACTTGAACAAAATGATTTTCCAACTCGGGAATTCCATAATCTAAGAAAGATATCAGAGTCAGTTTTATCTTCCAATGATGAGTTGAGTTGGGACGATTCCATTGACAAGCGAACCTCAGCCTCAACCCTGATACTCTCCCATTGTACCATGTGGCTGGTTGAAGTTGAAGGTGACTCCAATTTGATAGTGCTTGTTCCAGAACAGGATGGGGATTGGTGGCTCTGCTTATTGCTCCCCGCGGAAAGAAGACGCCTCTTTAGATGCGTATTCCAAAAATTTTTAATCTCATTATCTGTTCTTCCTGTTACATGGGAAGCTATAACAGCCCACCTGAAGTGTTGCATATAGAATATTACACAAGTGTGCAAAATGGCTACACCAAAAAGCTATTAGCTGCAAATCAATACTAATACAAACTATTTATCTGGAAGACGGTCTTCAAAGTTCAAATCACAGTATAAACGAATATTCTTCAAGTAATTACTTGTTACCGAGCAAGCCATGAAGTTGAATAATAGTAGCCTCTTCTTCATGAGAAAATGGACCCCGTTTTATGTCAGGGCGAAGATAGTTTATCCATCGAAGCCGACAACTTTTTCCGCATCGAAGAAGACCTGAAAATACATCATGCTTAATGCTTAAAATTTCATGTAATTAAGGACTTTACAAAATTCATATTAAGGTTAATTTCAGGCATACTAATCAAACCCAGAAAACAAATAAATGAAAAAGAAAGTGTCCTGCTTCTTCTAATCCAGTGGAACAAAGCTACAATCATTTCTATGTCTCAGATCATTAAAGACTTAAAAGCTAATTTTCATCAAGCCCATGTTTAATGACACAATAAAGAAACCAAACCTGCTTCCTTAGGAAGGTTACGCCAGTTTCCATGGCCATGCTCTTTGATATGTTGAATTAATTTGGCATCTTCTTCAGGAGACCAAGCTCCTTTTTTCACTCCATCCTTATCAAAACATGGTGCTTTTCCCATCTTCACTTTCTCTTTCAGAAAACAATTATCAGCTCAGACTTAACTATAACCATCAAGTAACAAGGGTTTTTAATAAGAGAGAGAGAAAAGCTGTAAAGAATATAAATTTATGGGACTCATCAATGTAATCTGATCATGGGTTTAAATGCCACTGACGGTGTGTGCATAAATGTTACGTGATTATTTAGATATACATTGGCCTAAACTTAAATAACATTGTCACTCTTAAAAGAGTTAAGAATACTCTTGCCACAGCTTTTACATTTATCTATCACAAGTTGAAGTTAACCAAGAAAGATACTAGTTCTGTATAAAGTAAAGGTCACAGTTTTACATGAAAAGAGTCGTAGTTAAGATTGTGCAGAGGGATTCAGTTAATTTTTGGTCTTCAATGGTGCACAATTGTAAATGAGTCTCTGTCAATACTGGTCTTCTTAATTGTGTTGTCAGCTCGTACAGTGCATATGCTTTTTCAATTCACTATTAACTCGTAATCTTAATTCTTCACCTCGATACCAATTAATATTTGGTCTTTTCATTCTTTTCTTATCTGTTAACAAGACAGTAACCTGTATTTATTTAGTATAGGTTTCAGGGCAGAGCCTATTTGGCTATTTCACCATTTTCCATTTTTTTACACAGTAATTGTAAACAATGAAGCCGGCGGGGCCTCCCTTTGTAGGTCAGAGTAGGATTTAATACACTTCAAAGCCAAAATCATAAATTCTTCTATGTTGGTTACTAGGGACATTTGGCCACCACAATGAATTGATGCTACTCCGTTCATTTTAGCCTGAATATAAAATGAACTGATGGTGGCTACTGAACTTTCTGGGTTTGTGTTCATTCCTAACTAATGCTTAGGTTAGCCTGTTCTCAAGTAATTTTGTTCATTGTAAATTGTTAACTTCTAAATACAACTAAGAAGAGAAAGAGATAGAGGAAATGAATATTCTTTTGTTTCTTCTGCATACCAGAAAAGGAATTACTTCATTTTCAAGCTAGGGCTTTTGCCCTGGTTTTAGTTTTCTGCCCATCAAAACCTGATCTTTATATAGTGATTGTGAGAGAAAGAGTTCCATAAGTGAATATGGTAAATCTAACAATAGTTGGAAGGGTGAGAGATGGTTTAGCTCTGGCACAAGGCCCCAGGTACATTAACCAAGTGAATGATAACTTCTCATTTTACAAGCAACAAGCAGAGTTCATCCTCAAAGAAATCTCAAGAGGAGCATTGGCACCTTCCAAGATGACAATTCGTGTTGATCACAACTCCTTTCAGTATCCTCTTCTTCTCCATTGCTAATTTACTTTTATAAAATTTGTAGTATTTGATATTGGGTAGTCTTAACATAAGTCTTAGATTATGAAAAGACAATTTTTTTATTATATCAAAACAATCAATTGAAAAAAACACAAACTTGAATAATGCATTAATATAATCAACATTATTTTTTTATTTTAACATATGTCTTAAGATATAAGTTAAAGACTTTAAGACCCCCTTTTAATATTTGATCATGTGCATAGCATGATTATGACATGTTGATGCTTTCAACTTTCTGCTTCATGAATTTATTTTTTGGGTAATAGTTTTATGCTAGGAAGAAAACAAATGATCAAATAGGGATATGACTGTTCATTTGGCCTTTAGGAAAGTTAATGAATTAAAGCAGTTACCATTTTTAAGCAATAGGGTGATGGTGATTATCTCTTTCACTTTATTTTTGACATTAAGCTACCTGATGGAGAATGGAATCTGCTTCATCACATTGTCTGACTCTTCATATCCAAGAAAACTAGCTTTCCATTATCTTCAAGACCTGCAAAAGGAGTTCCAGAAGTTTGATAGTGACCTTGTGGATAAAATTACAAGGCCCTACAGCTTTGTTAAATTTGGTAAAGTGACATTAATAATTGCGCTACAATTGATGATCCTGGACAGCCCTCTAGTGATGTTTCATAACATTTCTCAGAAACCACAGGACCTTTATTTGTATCAGAATGATACCATTCTAACACATGATGATTTTGACATTCAAATCAGATACTTTTACCTAAAGTTGATTGTTTAATTTCCTATCTCTACTATGTCTTGCAGATAGTATCATTGGAAATATTAGGAAGCAATATTTTGATACAAGAACACAGGCCAATCTAGCAAAGATGATTGTTAATCGTGGGCAAGATCTAAGTATAATTATTGAGCACATGTCCCAAATTGTAGAAAGGAAACGTCATTCAGGTTTTTCGTTTTTACAGTTACTTTTATGAACCATCAACTGATATAAATCATCTATATATTTATATATATAACTTTCTTATATTTCTGCAGAAACTTCAGAAAGAATATATACATCTCCTGAACCTAAATCCTCCATATGGGGTTCCCCGCTCCTTGAGGTATATGTTTATTCCTTCCCATTCTTTTTTTTTTTTTTCTTGTTTGCTGCAAAATTATATATTAATTGTTTTTGTATGCAGGATATTGCTCTGAAATGGACACCTATAACAATCATTTTTGTCGGTTTTGCTGTTCTTTTCTGGGCCAACTTAGCCCTCAAAGAGGATTTCATAATTTGAAGTTCGCAATGAAGCTTGTATTATATGGAAAGCTTAATGATCAAGTTGTATCTCAGAAAACTTTTTATATGAAAATGTAACTTGAATCTAATCATTAACATTTAAATTTACACGAAAACGTCCATGGATCAGGTCAGTGGGACATGGAATTGATATGTTGTTTGATTGCTTGAGGAGGTTTTAAATGAATTAGATAATGAGTTATGGAATCCAATGAGACTGTTCTTGTGATTATTAGCCTTAAAAATTTCTAATCGTACATCATACTGGGTGGACTTTTAAGGGCAGTTGCCAATGAAAAACCTGAACCTAAAAGAATTAACAAACCTCATTGTGAGGTAAGCGAAGGTTATATCCTTTAAAAACCCAATGACAGGGCTGTAATGAGGTGGCTCTTAATTCCCTCAGGAGTGAATTTATTAGAAAGTCAATGCGACTAAAATCTTTTGGAATGCAAGAGAGGTATCTCCTTGGGATAATAAAGAGTCAAGAACAGAGAACACAATTAATGGTGATTATTTTTTTAAGTTCTTTCATAAATAAAATAAATTTATGCAAAGGGAAGTACAATAAGCTGTTGAATATTGCTGCACAATGGAAANTTTTTTGCTGCAAAATTATATATTAATTGTTTTTGTATGCAGGATATTGCTCTGAAATGGACACCTATAACAATCATTATTGTCGGTTTTGCTGTTCTTTTCTGGGCCAACTTAGCCCTCAAAGAGGATTTCATAATTTGAAGTTCACAAAGATGCTGAATGTATTATATAGAAAGCTTAATGATCAAGTTGTATCTCAGAAAACTTTTTATATGAAAATGTAACTTGAATCTAATCATTAACATTTAAATTTACACGAAAACGTCCATGGATCAGGTCAGTGGGACATGGAATTGATATGTTGTTTGATTGCTTGAGGAGGTTTTAAATGAATTAGATAATGAGTTATGGAATCCAATGAGACTGTTCTTGTGATTATTAGCCTTAAAAATTTCTAATCGTACATCATACTGGGTGGACTTTTAAGGGCAGTTGCCAATGAAAAACCTGAACCTAAAAGAATTAACAAACCTCATTGTGAGGTAAGCGAAGGTTATATCCTTTAAAAACCCAATGACAGGGCTGTAATGAGGTGGCTCTTAATTCCCTCAGGAGTGAATTTATTAGAAAGTCAATGCGACTAAAATCTTTTGGAATGCAAGAGAGGTATCTCCTTGGGATAATAAAGAGTCAAGAACAGAGAACACAATTAATGGTGATTATTTTTTTAAGTTCTTTCATAAATAAAATAAATTTATGCAAAGGGAAGTACAATAAGCTGTTGAATATTGCTGCACAATGGAAAAAAAAAAAATCAACAGAGGGTATCTCCTGAAACTATTCCATGGACGAACAACCACTAATTAAGCTTGTATGGTTTCTAATTTCTTGGGGTCTCATTCAGATGACAAGATTATTATGAGAAGTGTAGTGAGAAGGTTTTCTTCATGCCCTGAAATTTTGAACTATTAACAACATGCATGCTCTCATATGTACATTACATCATTGTTCATATTCAAATGGCTACATATGTCATCCCCTGAGATAGAATCCACGAACCCAATTCCAGAAATCTGATCTTCGAACTTGAATCCCGAGACGTTAAACATTTCATCCACCAAACCATTGTTAAATCCAGTATGGAAATCACCACCAAATGCTCCCTCATTCAAAAAACAACCATGCGTGAAAGAATCTTGAACAAAGTTTGTGTTGTGATTATTAAAGCCATCCCTGGAAACCACTTGCTCATGACCTGAATTTACAGAGCTCCCACTATGAACATTCTCTACTGACAGCCACTCGGCAAATAAAAGCTTTGGCAAGCAGCTTTTGTGACCCTCTTTAGCCAAGTCATTATTATCACTTGATGATTTCTCCATGTGATTCATTAACGAGTCATAGCTTGGAATTCGAGTGTTGAGATTATTATCAGGAGAGATTACTGAAGAATCCATATTCTCTGAGCTTGAAGTAGCGGTGCACTGGGTTTTGATATGAGCTTCCATTTCTTCAAATTTGGCCACTTTTTTCTTCAGGTGTGAATGCCAGTAGTTCTTTATCTCATTATCAGTTCTTCCAGGCAAATGCTGAGCAATACTTGACCACCTAATTCATCAGAAAAAAAAAACGATTACTTTAATCAATTATTGTCATCTAATACAATAATAATAACCATAAGGCTTCTTCCAATTCAGTTAAAACTTAAAAGTTTACTATAGCTTCCATTTCAGTATCATTGACCAACTGAACAGAAAAGTCAACCTTAAATTTCAGTGGGGACCCACTAGTTGAAAGAAAAAAAAAAAATAGGTGGGTCCACATTATTTTCCGCAACATCTAAGACCGTTACTTACTTGTTCCCTAACAGGCGATGGAGGGACAAGATTGTTTCTTCTTCTTGTACAGTAAACATTCCTCGCTTTAATCCTGGTCTCAGGTAATTAATCCATCTCAATCTGCAGCTTTTCCATTCCTTTGCAAACTGCATGCATGTAAAAATTAAATTTCATTAATGTCCTGAAAATAATTATCTCAAGGCTAGTTTAGTAAATTGAAGTTCAAGTTATAATTAGTTTCTTTCTCTTAATTATTAATATGTTTATTCTCCCTTGAGAATAATAGAAATTAATCCATCTTTTTTTCTACTGAACATGTCAGATTTTCGAAAAATTCTTTCGTCTGGTTGACTGGAGTTGCCATGCCGTCCAATAATACAGAAAATTAGTGAGACAACCAAAAAGGATGAAATATCAAATTTTCATATGTATAGAACCAGAAACATTTAATGGGACCCCGTGACCCTCTTTTATTGAAGATATATATAAGTTAATAATATATAATGAAAGGTCAAATTATAATTATCATCTGCTCATCTCCAATTCAAGTAGCTCACCAATAATGCGACTTTAATCTTCTTATCTGGTTGAAATCAAGCAAATGCAGCTTGTTTTGTAAAACAGAGCTTTATCTTATCTGGGTCTGATCACAAATTCAGGAACATTGTAGAAAAGCAAACAAACTTGGAAAATGCTTACAAAAGATGGTGATATGTGTGAACAAACTATAAATTTTGCAGAGCTACAACATGAAGGACTTTATATAAACCTATAATTCATGAATACATGCTCTGCTCTTTTTTATCTTCTCAGAAAATTTAATGAAGATAAGCAGCATGGAAAGTCGGTAAACTAAATCAATAATCAACTATTTATAAGCAGTTCTCACCGGCTTAACAGGAACGGAGCTCCAGCAAGCGTGGCCGTGCTTGAGAACATAGTTTCTGAGCCTGTGCTTCTTCCGGTGACCTAAACCCTTCTTATGTTTTAACTTTGGTTTATCAGATGACTTAAACCCCATTTTTGCTTAATGGATAAAGTAACAATAAGCTTAATGACAGCTTAAAAGATGAAGGAGAGAGAAAGAGAGTGAGAAAAAGGAGATGGAGAGAGTTTGCGATGTTGTAAAGAGTAGCAACAGAAGGGGCAATAAATAGCCGACCATAAAGCCAAGAATATAAAGCCAGATTAGTTGTAATTCTACGATTATAAAAAGAGAAAAAAATATATATATTCCAAAGCAAAAAAAAAATTGTCTTTGAAGAAAAATATTTTTTATGAAGAAATGGCAGTAAGAGCCCTGATGGCTTAAAAACCAGAAATGTGAATGTTACCCTGTGTTTTAAGCAATGCAATTGACTTTATGAAACCTACTTCATATTCTGGAAGAGAGACTAAGAGAGAAGAAGAAAAAGTATTGGAAAGAAAGAGAGAGAAGAGAGCTATAAATTTTCTTTCGTTTGGTAAAAGTGAAAGGAGCATAACAAGGAACACGAGGTGGAAAAACTTTTCCCTTGGACCCCTCATTTTCTTAACTTCTCCCCTAAAGATAAAGGGTAATTAAAGGGATATCTCAGCTTTGTTAAGTTATTTTTGCACCCTTATTATAATTAATTATTTCAATTACACACTAATCTTCTATATAAAGTCTTTGAAATTATCGATCGAGTAAGAGTTTTAATAATCATCTCTATTAATGTACGAGAGGGTTCATACTAATTTTTCCTCTCTTCATCCGAATTTACAAAAAGAAGAGCATGTATCTTTTTCTTTCTTCTGCTTTCTTTCTCCCTTCCTCGTTCGCATTCAAAGTTCTGAAGTCCTGGGAAAGTGTATAAACTAATAAAAGTTACATTGGACTGTGATTCTCTTTCTCCTAATAAGACACTGTGGGAACACCATGACATTAGTTAATGTTTAATTTCGTTTCATCTGAGCAGTTAATTTTACCGCAGACTTGATGATTGACCCGTTGCGAACAACTGCAATAAATTATGAATAAAAAAAATTGAGCAGATGATGAAATGGTGATTCAAGCGCTGCAGCTCATCTGGGTACACTGTGAGGAAAAGAGTTGACGTCAGTGAAAGCTAAGGCTTGTAGTATAAATTAAAAAGGACTTCCATCTGGGTACACTGAACTGAACACAACTTCTGACATTAGCAATAACTAATTGGATAAAGATGAAACTTTGTTGGATCTTCTACCTCAGTATTAACTGGTTGTACTAATAGTTTTTCTTAACTTGAAATGTGAAAGGATTAATAGAATTTCCACCGACAAAATAAAAATTTTGACCACTAATCATTTCTGAGTTTACCATCTACATCACCCTAAATTATTCATTGGAAACTTGCAGAAATTGAATGGAAAAACGTCTCCCTCCACCGACAAGTTAAAAACTTTTCTCATCGTTTTATCATATTATTATTTCAATTAAATCTCCATATAAATATGATTTTAATTAATGAAACAATTTGCGAATCTTTTGTAATTGCGTGTATGATTTAATTAGCTAATAATAGGAAATAATTTATTGAAGAAAATCCCCCATGTTCTGATTATGTTCAACAAATCAATGGATAGTTTTCAATCATTTATGAATCATTGTCAATAACAGGCCACTCTGGTTCAATAACATCACATTAAAAAGAAAAACCAAAAAAAAAAATTAATAAAAAATTAATGAAGCCCCATTGCCAGATTGTATTTGTCTACTTTTTTGCATATTGGCAAGAATAATATCATTTTATAAAAAGAAGTTATCGGCCATGGGAAGCTTCTTTCTAATTAAAATAAATATTATTGTCATGTCAACCCTGACCTCCCATTTGTCAGTGAGGAATTAACAAATTAATTAAAGCTCACCACCAATTAATCTTAAACAAATCTCCAATTAGCCGTCAAACATATAATGTAAACCCAACTTTCTTTTACACGTGCCATAATTAGCAGGCTTAATTATATATATTTTTAAAATCCCACCTAAAACAAATTTTAATTATATGTATTGAAAAACAGAAGTTACATATAATAATATAATAAAATCGATACTGACCATATGGCCATATCGAATCCTTTTGAAGAGGGGGTGGGCAAGGTTCTATCTTCTGGATAGAATGAAACTGTTTTCGTTTAAACCTAATCACAATTTTTTTCTCTAAAGTAAACGATTTAATGTGGCTGCTATGAGAAGACCAGACTGTTAATTATTTTAACTAGGTGTCGGTATCACTACCTTGGAAAAGAAAANGCATGAACCATCCATATGCATTAATTGTGCATTAAGAAGTAGCTTGAGAAAGAGTAGAGAATTTCTACACTATGAGTATTAGCTTGAGAAAGAGTAGAGGTTTTTGTGCT